AGAGAGAGAGAGGTACCCTGGCGTCGGTGAGATCCGGACCACCCCGTCGCACGCGTGCACGGGGGGCACCCTTGGCGCGCGTAATGGCCGGCCGCGTGTGTTTGCGTTAACCTTCGTTTCGACTTTCAAATTACCGAGCATTTCGAGTGGCTGGACCGGCGCGCGAGCGGGTAAAAAGCGAACGACTAGCGAAATAGCAGGGTGCGCGCGTCTTCCCCTGCGGAGTTGGGTAAGTGGCGGCGAAACGGTCCGAAACGAGCAACCATAACGCGCGCTAGTGGCACGGTAGTAGTAGTCACCCTCTCGTATTTTCGTTGCCCGGGACCCCCCGTGCATCGTCCGCGAGGGTTAGCGCCGAAAAACAACCTTGTGGACCCGTGGAGAAGGGGTTAATTTGCGACCCGTCCGTAGCCCGTTGTTAGCATCCACGGCGAAAACTCGGGGATATCGTTACGGGTTTGCGAAGCTCTCCCGCTCGTTTCGCGAAATACGCGCGCCGGGTACAGGGTACGCGCGGCACGCGAGAGGGGTACAGGGAAGGGCAGTGCTCTCTTTACGTCTGGCTTTTTCGCATAACCTTTCATCGCGAGGCTGCGTTTGAGTCGGCGAGGAAGGTAGCCCATAAAAGGCGCGGCCCTCCCCGTGGTAGTTCGCCTTTCCGCATCGTCCGCGAGCCTCCCCGCGGAGCTGCCGCGTTATTTATTCCTTTTGCAAACGCGGGAAAGGCGCGCGCGCTTTATTAGAAGCAACAATGGCCACGGCGCAGCGCGGCGAGTTTACAGCGCGTTGGATTCCTTTCATTCGCGCCGCGCGAGACGAATCACGCGAGGGATTTTCCAGCGTCCGCGTGAAAAAGCCGGTTTCCGCCTTTCCAGGCGCGCCGCCGCGCGAAAATAAAGGCGCGCGAGGGCCTTCTCTCGCGGCCTATCGCGCAATAAGCCTCCTTTATCCGCTTCTATTCCCGCACTCGTCGCGTCGACTCGGCTCCGCTCCGCTCGTCGCCGATCGTCGTACGCGCGCGCGTGTGTGTACGTGCGTACTCTAATGGACAAGGTACGATCGATCTCTCGATGCGCGCCCTGCACATGCAGCGATTCTGGTTGGACGGAAGAGGAACCGACCCTCGAAACGGGGTTCGAGGCTCTCACCCTCTGTTTCAGGTCCTCCCATGGCAACGTGCCACCCAACAATGCGAGCTTCGGGATATCGGTCTTCGCGCGATTCCATCGGTTCCCGCGTTTAATATCGCGAATTTTTACCCTCCACTGGATACACCCGGTTCCTGGACTCTCGCGAGGCTGCTGGTACCACCCGGTATATCCGACTGGAGATCGAGAGGTGGTACCACTATCGTTCTGCTATCCACTGTCATTCTATTACCCACGTATTTAAAAGATCACGACCACGCGAACTGTTGTGTGGTCCATTATTTCATTTTCGAATCTGCCCCGACAGAGGCGGCCGTGGTCGCAACGATTCGTTGAATTTTCACAAACACGCTCGATAGCCACGCATCGACGCGGGGTCACCAGCAACCCTTTGCGAGGTTTGCCTTTGAACGTGGAATACCGATATGCAAGCGGGCGCTGGCTCACCCCTCGTTGCGCGGACACGTCGCTTTTAAAACCAGGGATTGCTGGCGCGAATTGGAAATCACGACAGGGTAATTTCCTCCCCGTCTACGTTTCCCTACCCCTTTATCGTATCGTAACGCGGATAAAAATCGATCTTCGGCATCTCGCGCGTCTACGCGTCGACGTGGATGTCGAAATAGGTATAATCGATAGCGAATTCCGTTCATCGAAAGGGTATAGCCCGTATATCGCGTAGATACGCGAGGTTGGAGAACAGCGATGGAAACGGGAAGGTGGCGTGCCACGGTGCAGTTAGTCGAGTATTCGGTGCACTTTTAGATCGGGGTGTGGCTAGACAGCTCTTTGGCCGAGCTCCGTTCTCCTTCGATCGGTTATCCCGGCGAGAGTAGCGGCGGCACGCCGAATTCGTTGAAATTCGTTGAACCTCGCGGAGCGATCGGGATACCCGCCACACGCCGCGCGTTCCTCTTTGCATCATCCGCATTTATCCGCGAGACGTAAATGTTTGGGTCTCGAGGCGGATCGCGCGGTGAGTCGAATTCCTCGGCGATCTGGTCAGCCACTCGAATCGTGCGCGGAGATGGTTGAAAGATCGGCTCCGGCGGTGGAACGGTTACTCTTGATCGGGGGCAAGCATCCGTGACGAATTATTCCACGTTTCGCGATCGATCTCTTACCGTCTCTGTGTAGAAAGGAGAGAAGGGTTGATCGAGAGATCCGGGAACTGACTTTGGTTAACCTCTTCCCGTATTTTAACGCTTTGGCCTACAACCACGTGTGAGACTCGTGGTCAGGGTTTCGGGTCGAAACTGATTATCACGGGTCTGGCACGTGGTACATCGATCGGGCCAAAATTTATTATCACGGCCCTGGCACGTGATACCTCGCTTGGGTTAGATGTAAACACCACGTGTCACGGCAATGGTTTGTCGATGTGCCCCGCTACAAATACCACAGTCCAGTGGTCGGTCCAGGTTGGTGAACTCATTTGCGTGTTATTCTTGACTACGTTCGCACATTGAAGTATACTTTTTTTTGATATATTAGGAAAGTATCCGTATACAATGATTTTAAAAAGAAAATTCCGTGGTAAGGTTACCAGTAAGTCGTGATACATCTTACGTTTGGGACCACGTTGTCAAATCTTAAATCGTAGGGCAAGGGGTTTTAACGAGTCTGACTCGTGATGAAGATTTTGGCTCAAACGCAGAAAGTCGGTCCAAACGTAAACATCACGGAGCCAGACTCACGGGTTGTCACGTGTATTTAACATTTCGACTCGTATGGCGACTGTTTTCGAGCATCAGTCTGGTCTGTTTACCGCGTTGACGCCTACCGTTTGGGCCCGGATTTCGTCGAGCTTAAATGGCACGGGGAAGGGGTTAGAAGAGACCTGGCCGAAAAATTCTTTTCCTGGCTACCTTTCGTCGGCGTCGCGAGATATATTTTGTTCGCGGTTACGCGGGCAGAAGAGTGTACCGTCCTCGACTTGGCCGAGAGTACCGGCTGCTGGAGTTCTCTCTGAATGGCACTCGTGACCGGGGGAGCGGAGATTAATTAAAAGGACGACGTCGAAAACCTTTTGCCCGCGGTTCAGTCGCTTCTCCGGCTCTCGAGAAACTCTCTTTTCTCCCCGTTCTCTCTCTCCGTCTGCTTGCTCGCGAGGTCTTCTCCGTTCCGTCGATTCGATGGACATTGATTCCCGATGAACTGACGCTGATGTACGACAGCGGGCTTAACCGGTCGGAGCTAATAGGAAACGCCAGCCGGAATTTATCGTGCACCTCGCGTACACCGGTAGATATCGATGTCACCGATTCTTGCTCGTCCCGTTCCCTGTCCATGTCTCGCTGGCCAAAGAGAGATTCCCGCGGCAAGTAAGGAGAGATATCGAGAGATCGACCGTATCGACTTTTTGCCCCGCTGGAAATCCATACCATGGCTGGCTAATTGCCGTTTCGAGTTTTATGGCATTTCCACGCGACGCGATAAAAATTCGCGACACTCGATTTTCTTGCTTCGATACTAACGGAACGAA